TTGTGAGTTCATGTTAAAAGTTAATATAGATATGTCAAAATTTCCAACATATCGTATAAAATTAATTAGAATGTTTTGATTGGTTAATTTAAATGATGTGGCCGTTAATTTCTTCTTTGCTTGACACCTAAGATTTTTTGTGAGTGTCTCCTTAATTAATATATAGAGAATTAAAATAAAGTACTGTTTTATTTAAATTATGCAACCAACAATTTCTAAGAAAAACAGTTTATAATTCATATAATGTATTTGATGAAAAGAACTGATTTTTTTTTCTTGAAATGTAAACATAATATTTTAGCCTGTGATTCTGAACACTACACAAATTTACATTTAAAACTCTGACGACAAATGCATGCATGCATTATGTACGTATAACATTAAATTGGTTAAAAGGATGATGATCCGGTATTCTAATTTGATACGTAACAACATCATACTAAGGAATAAAAGAAAGTTGATTATATACATCTGTACTGTTTCTACAGAAAAATGCACCCAGTCACATATTTTACTTAGTATCCATTGTGAGTTTGTGACAAATAATTAAGTAGAGAGGCAAGTGGGTAGAAGTTGTGGTCACACATATACAATGTCTCCTATGGAACATGAAAAGCCAATGTGTTCCAATCAAAGTTTGTCGTATTTATTTATTAGGTGATTCCTTCGCAAAAGTTTATTTTTTTTTTGTCTACTATATAATTTTTATCATTAACAAGACGGAAATATGACTCTTTTAGTCGGCAAAAACCTATATATAATAATTTCTTTGATGACTATATTTCATTTTTTTAAGAACGAAAAATTGTTTTGATCAAAGAACGTAAAAATTATTATATCTTTGGAAAATCAAACTAACGAAATTATTATGACTGGTGCATGAAACCTTCAAGATTACACATGTCTTATTTTGCTTCTAGGAACCTCTTAGCTGACGTTAGATCAGCATCTCTTAAAACATTGAATCTAACTTTCGAAGAACAATATGATTACTATATTGAACGATATTTATTTATTATTTCCCTTCCTTGGTACTAGAATATAATATTATATACATTTTTTAGCCTCCTGTTTTGTTAAAATTTACAGGTTATTATGTAAGTTGAAACCAAGCAAGAATTATTCAAGTCCATAAAAATAGAAAAATAAGATGTAGAATAAGATAGCTCATAAATTTTTAATTCTAAATTAGGTTGGATTTGCACCCAAGAGGATTAAGTATTATTTCTAGTTGCTCAAAGTCTAAGCCAAAACTTATCTCCTTTACACTTTGAGATGAACATTAGTATGGACTATGTCGAAGACATTAGAAAGAGGAATCCAGTGCTAGACTTTTGAAACAAATTGTATAAAACTGACCAGTACGTATTACCATTTTCCAGAAGAACAAAACATACTTTTGACATTCTGTACACAAATTTGATACATTTTGTTCTAGTTTCCGTGTACTAGATAATACAGTCATATGAAATAAATATGGAAAATTGGTTAAAATAACTTAAAAAAATTATATTTCACTAACTAACTAAATCATCCTAATCTAATGGTTCCTATTTCTCCACATCATATTATTTTTATTAGATTGCAAATATAATTTTTTTTTGGTTATTGTTGCAAATCACCCAATAAATATTTTCACCGCTTTTTTGTAGTGGGGAAATTGACGGCTGAAAAAAAAAAGATAACAATAATACTTTTGCTATAATATGGTGAGATCCAATTTTTCACTTTTTACTCTAAAAATGTAGGGGTAATTATAAAAATGCCATTTTTTGTATGCACATTTGCAAGAATGCCACTTAAAGGTGTCTATTTACAAAAATGCCACTAATTATAGATTTATAAAACCTATATCTTAAAATTCTAAACCCTAAAAAATGTTTTGACACCTAAAACCCCTTAAACACTCAAAACTAANCCNNANNGNANNNNANTNANNCNAANNNNAANNANNNNAANAAAAAATAATTTTGAAAAAGTGGCATTTTTGTAAAGATTTCAAAAGTGTGGCATTTTTGTAAAGTGACACTTAAAAAATGGCATTTTTGAAATTTCTCAAAAATATACCCATCACAGTCAATGTATTCATGTTTGTTCACATACACACACAAATTATTGAATAATAGAAAAAAAAATCGGATCTACTTAAAAAATTAGGAAATTATGTTGAATAATCATAAAAAACTATAACTAAAATCTAAATAATTTTGATGGTTTGCCATATATAATAATTTTGGCTGCTTTTTAATTATAATTTTTTTTTTGGTTAGTTAGCAAATTGACCATAAAAAAATTCAAATCTATCTGGTACGCACATCAGCGAGATAATGG